GATCCTCCGGCCTCAGCCTCCCAAAGTGCTGGCATTACAGGCATGAGTCACTGTGCCCGACGACTGCTTCATTTTGAATCCCAAAGCCCCAGTGTAAATCTTTCTGTGGAAGACCATCTGAATTAATAAATATTGCTATTGAAAAATTCCGAATAAAAAGTATTCAAGCTGGGTGTGGTGGCTCATGCCTATAATCAATCCCAGCACTTTGAGAGGCGGAGGTGAGAGAATTGTCTGAGCCTAGGGGTTCGAGACGAGCCTGGGCAATTTGGTGAGATCTCATCTCCACAATAAAAGAAAAAAATTTAAAAAATTAGCCAGGCATGGTGGCGCATGCTTGTAGTTCCAGCTACTTAGAAGGCTGAGGTGGAAGGATTACCTGAGCCTAGCAGATCAAGGTTGTGGTGGGTGTGAGTATGCCACAGCACTCCCGCCTGGGTGACAGTGAGTCTCGGACTAACAAAAAGGCATTTAAACTGTGTCATCTTCCAGGTACTGAGGAGGCCATACAAATCCAACAATACCCATTCACATGACTACATGGAGTCCTGAGGATGGATACTTCCAAATGGAATTGTTGGGCAGCCTGGGTCTGGATGGTATTAATAACTCAATGCATGTATGTGGTGAAACAGCTTTAAACGCATGTTTCATCTACTATCTGTTAATTATTACCTCTCTGGACAGCCTGGCTCATGGTAAGGGAAGTCAGGACACCAGGGTTCTGATTCTGCTCAGCTCTCTCTGCTGTAAAATGAAGAGTTTGGTGAGTAGATTCTCTCCAATGGTTCTTGTGTAGCTAGGTGGGTAGGGCAAATTTTCTTATCACCATTTTATAGATTGGGGAAACTAAGGTCATGAGAGCTTAAGGGACTTGCTCAAGGCCCCAGATAATAGCTGATATCTGATACTTGAGATTAGACACCAGGACAAGGACAAAACATTTTCTTCTGTATCATACTCATAACCAACCACACCTAACATCTGTGGGCAACAGTACAAATAGAGACCCACGTAGCAGTAACTTAAGTATTTAAGTTATAAATCACGATAAACTGTGAAACAGAATATGATGTACTCCCACTTTGACAGATATCTCTTCACTAGGACTGAATGTCCAGGTGTGAATTATGACCTCTTGGACTCCTCCAAGGACCAGGCTGGAAAATCTCAGGGAAGATAAAGCTGACCCCTCTTTGACCTCTCTTCCTGCACTAGGAGGGGCTCAAAGCACCCAAGAGCACACACCTCAGCCCACAGGTCCAAGTACTGTCAACACCCCAACAAAGAGCTGTTTTCTTGGACACAGGTGTGAGTTCAGAGTCCCGAGCAGATCCTGGAAGTGGGTTTGGCACCATCTGGGCAGGGCATTCGAGAGCTCAACTACCTGAAGTGTAGTCTAAAAGATGCTTCAGGCTTTGGCTGGGAAGGGAATCTTGACCTTGAGAATGGCCTGGGAAGGGAATCTTGACCTTGAGAATGGCACCGCCAGAGGAGAGCCAGAGGGTGGCTGTGGGCAGAGGTCCCTCTTACTTGGGCTTAGAGCAAGTCTGAAGCCTGGAGTGGTGGCTCATGCATGTAATCCCAGCACTTTGGGTGGCAGAGGCGATTGCCACTCAGGATTGCCTGAGCCCACGGGTTGGAGACCAGTCTGGGCAACATGGCGAGACCTCATCTCTACAATACATAAAAAAATTAGCCAGGCACATGCCTATAGTTCCAGTTACTTGGAAGGCTGAGGCGGAAGGATCGCCTGAGTCCAGCAGGTCGAGGCTGCGGTGGCTGTGACCCTTCCACTGCACTTCAGCCTGGGCAACAGAGACTTTGATTCCAAAAAAAAAAAAAAAGAACCAGTCTGATGACGACACTGCCTCTGGATTCAACATAAGGAGTAAAATACGGAAACTTTCCTGTGATAAGTAAGTATGGCCTGGTGGTTATGAGACTACATTTTGCAAATACTTGAGTTGGGATCTTAGCTTGGCCACTTTCTCGCTGTGACATTTCAGGTAAGTTACTGGTCCTCAGCTCCTCAATAACAGTATAATTGCGAGGAGTAACTGAGATAGTATATGTTAGTCGCTTGGCAGACATTAAATACTGGGTAAACGTTGGCAGGGTTTTCTGCTGTCTGCAAGTAGGCGGATCTGCCTCAGAGAGGTTTTTCTGGAGAATTATATAAGCATAATTATATCCAAGCACTCCGATAGTCAAGGTGAAAGCCCTCCTCCCCCCACCAAACAACGGGGCCAGGCGCGAGGGTGGACAGTGTCCGCCGCACCCATGGAAGGGCTCCGCCCACGTCCCGCCGGTCCCGGGCCCAGGACCTCATGCTGCTGACGCGCACGGTGGGAGCTTCAGGCCGGGCTTTGGAGGTTAACTTGCCAACGCAGCTTGAGTCACGGCGGGACCAGGAACTGAAACCGAGTGTTAGCGGCCCCCAGGCGCATTCCTCCCATGCGGACGGTTAGGCCAGTGAGCAGTGGCACCGGATCCCAAAGACAGGACGCGCATCCGGAGTGGCCGCAGCTCGATCGCCACCCGCCACCCCCTGCACTCCGGGGATCCCTGGGCCAGCGCTAAATGCAGACAAGTCTCAACACCTCTCCTGGGCGGGGAGCCAGGGAGACGCAAAACAAGTCGGGGCATCTCCCAGGAGCGCTAGACCAGCCAGGGCCAGCGATGGCCCGCCCGACCGCGAGGACGCTTCCCAGGTGCAAGCCTGGACAGCCCCCCACCCCGGGTGAAGCAGATTCCCAGTGGCCCATTTCCCGGCTCAGCCCCCTACCCCCCTGCACACAACTTGGAAACTTTGCGGTTTCCTGCGGATCATAAACTGCAATCAGCCCTTTCTGTTCCCTGCAAGGAGCAGTCGTGACTGGGCCCCGAGAAGTCAGATTCTCTCGGAAACACCAACAAAGAGCTATTTTTAGGTCTGAGCTCTCCGCCTAAATTCCTTATTTTTTCACTTTGGCTTCCCAACGCCGGGGCTGGGGAAGCGGGAGGCATGGGGCGGGGGAGCAGCGGGGAAAGAACAGCTGCGCCTCCGCCTCTCCGCTCGGTCGCTATAAATAGCCAATCGCCGGCGGAGGCTACTTTTCAGCCAATGAAACCGCCCAAACTGATCAAACCTCGGCGGCAGCCAATGGGGGGCCACCTGGGCGTGTGAGACTCGCGCCCCGGGACCAATGAGCATGGAGTCTGGGAGAGGTAGTCGGAGCCCGAGTGTGGGTGTGTGGTGCCGAATCTTCCTACTTCCAAGCCCCCAAACCTGCTCCGCCACTGAGCATGCCCCGACGAGCTGCGGGCGCCTCCGAGGCTGCCGGAGCGGGAAGGCGTCCGGTCTCCGGGTTTTGACCGCAGCGGAGAGGGGAGGTGGGTGGGACCCGCCAGGACCCTGCCCGGAGAGAGCTCCGCGCACCAGCGGCCGCCCCCTTTGCCGTCTGGGCGGGCTCTCGGGCCCGGAGAGTCCCCCGTTTTCTTTGTCCAGGGGATGCAGTGCGAAGAGACGGTCAGAGAAGGCGGAGTGACGCTCCTGGGCGAACGGCTCAGAGAGCGCTGCGGGGCGGGGATGCTCCGCCCGCCGCCCGTGCATCCCGCAGCAAACACGCCCCTTGGGCTTCCGGCCCCGACGCAACCCGCCCGGGGCTGGTCAGTACAATATTAAAACCATGAATACTACTCAGCAATAAAAAGGAACAAACTACTGATATGTATAATTACATGATGAATCTTAAAAATAAGTTGATCAAAATTAGCCAGACACTAAATACAATATACTATTTGATTCCATTTGAACTTCTAGAACAGGCAAACTACTCTTTAGTGAGAAAATCATTTTTAAAAGTGTTTGCCCCTGACGGAGTGGGGAGAAAGATTGACTGAATGCGCCTGATAACACATTCTAGAGTGATAATAATATTCTACATCTTGA